ACAGAGTATTTGATAAAATGATTGTTCCCATTAAATAACATCGTAAATAAAAAAATTGTAAGAATTATGTTAATAAGGAATTATTACCTCAAGTCCTATCAATTCGGGTTATTTAACCAAGTCAATATGGTATTGACCTTTAGAGTGGTATTTATCTCTAAATCGGGTGTGTTTAACAACACCCCCCAACTAGCATGCGATTCACAGATTCATAATCAAATCATAACATATAACAAATGTGGGTATTCTGGGGAAATTTACTTGAGCTCGGTTGATTGCATGCACCACACCCTTTCTTGTCTTATAAATTCTTTCCTTAAAACATTTTCCTTTTGAAAACTTAGCAGATCCTCAGTTTGAGTTCAGACACACCCGAAAGTATGTCCGAACCCCTCAAACCAACCAACGTGTAACGACCGAAAAATTAAGGGTAAAAATTTCATTTTTAATATAGCTAAAACATTGATACTATTTATTTCAAACATTTCAAATCATCATTAAGTAAAACATTTATCAGAGTTCATCCCAAAATCATTCATTGCGGAAATCATAGGTGTGTGCACTGCGATCAATCCGAGCCCTTCCTTTCCAAATCAATGATACCTGAAACCAAAATTGTAAACCGTAAGCACGAAGCTTAGTGAGTTCCCCAGAGCATACCCCACACAATCCACATAACCACATAATCCATATCAACTATAACAGCTACATAAACCATAACAATTGCATAAGCATGCATATACACATATGAAGATGCCATGGAAACCCTCCAAGGTCTTATTCACATACTCACATAAATCATATCAGCTACACAAGCCATGCATGTAAACATATAGGGAAGCCATGGAAACCCTCTAAGGTCTTACACCGGGTGCCACTGAAACCCCCACGTGGTCTTAGCCCACTGCTATGGGAACCCCCGCATGGTCTTAACTAGGAAAGCCATGGGAACCCCCACATGGTCTTAGATCACTGCCATAGGAACCCCCCACATGGTCTTGGCCTGGGATGCCATGGGAACCCCTACATGGTCTTATATCCCACTGCCTCGGGACCCCCGAGGTCTTCCATGCAAGCAACACGGAGTCAACTACCACACCGCATATCACAGAAATATCTAGCATACCACATATCACATAATAGCTAGCATACCGCATAACACATATAACTAATTGCCATGGGAACCCCCACATGGTCTTAGTCTACTACCTCGGGAACCCCCCCGAGGTCTTCCATGTAAATGTCATACTAACATAACAAATAATCAACTAGCATATCACATATCATTAAATGGGCCGACCTTAGTGCCTTAGACCCATTGATATGGTGATGAGACTCACCTGACACTGCTAAAGTCCCGCGGATAAAACTCTAGCGGCTGGTTGACAGATTCCCGAACTTGTGGCGGCAGGCGGCGGTAGAGAGTGGCAGCCACCACCTAATGATGGTGGCGGTGGGGTTTTCTTCGGTTCTCCGACCAAGAAACGCTTCTGCAGCTTTAAACCATCACAACACTCGTGCACAAACATCGCAACACGCACACAGCCACCTCCCACGGTGGTTGGTGGCGACAACAAAGGGGTAACATGGCGGCAGTAGCTCTAGTAGCAACAGTAGTGGCTAAAGGCGGCAAAACTCCCCCCCACATCGATGGCTACCTTGAACGATAGCAACAATAGCAGAGGAACGGACCCGCTGGTGGTCCTCGTCTCCAACAGCAGCACCCGCGGCGGCAATGGCTGGTGGTTTCGACCTCCGCAACGGGGTGGCGTCTCTGATCATCTACTGGTAAGGAGGCGACCGAGAAGGCTCCGGAAATGGCAGTCGTGGCGTCCGACGTCGGCGTTCACAGCTCCAAACGGTCTTCAACGGTTCTCTCTCGACCGTCCACGACATCCGGCAGCAAGATGGACACGAGATGTTCGTCTGGTGGCTTGGGACTTCGACCGATCGAAAAGACAATAGGGAGTTGGAGTGGTAACAGCGGCTGGAGAATGGAGGAAGGAGGTGGCGGCTGCAATGCTACTAGGGTTAGGGTCTTATACCCCGATCCCCATGAAAGTTCTCCCCATAATAACAACAATGGTCCTCCCTTCTCTATTTTCTTTCAAAAACGAGTCCTAAATTTACCCTTTTAACCCCTCCTTCTGAAAACCCTTACAAATCAAGTCCGAATCTTACCAATCAGCCCATGCTTCCATAATTCCTCTCAAATTCGATCCCTAGTTTACCAAGTATCCCCTTAGCCTCCAAAATCTTTTCAAAATAAATCCCAAAATTACTTTTTAACCCCTGAATAATCCGATTTATAACATTTGGCTCCCCAAAACCAACACCCCACTAAATAATAAGGATTTAGGGCGACTATTCGTTCATCAATTTTATCTATTTATTTATTTAATAAACAGGATGTTACAAATCAATTTGCTTCATTCTTTGTTGTTTCTAACTCACTACCAATGGTACTCAAAGGGTACAAACTCAATTTCAACATAAATCAAACATATACCAAAAAAGAAAAAAGTTCTAAGCCCAAATTGAAGATGTTACATCATTAACCTCACATTTATATTATCTCGTTCATTTTTTTTTATTGATTCCCAAGTTCCAAGCTATTAGTTTTTTTTTTGTTAACTTCAACTTCATGTGCACATCGTACATGATGGTTTTATACTCTTTAATAGACAGATCATGATCAATACATCGAAATAATTTACATCTCCCCTTTCTTCATATAATTAATTAGGTTAACATGATACTATTATCATACAACATCAACACAATTTTTATTAAATAATTAGGCATGTATTATAGTGTTAACATGTTGCCGCGGGCGTATTAAGCAAATAAAATTTCACTGCTGGTTGCACTAATAATATAACGAAAAGAAACAGGGTCGAATCTTTAGAGACACAATCTAACAGTTAATACCTTTTTGCATCAGACACATTCTAGTCAATAAAACAGAAATGATAAAAAATGGGTTTTTGAATAAAAACTAAAACTAAAAAATTGCAGTGAAAATAAATTAAACGAAACTCAATAATAAAAACGATTTCAGTTCTGCTGCGACTTTCCTAATAATGTAATCAATCCAGATCTGATTATTCAGAATGTGTTCTATCTAAGCTGGTACTAAGAAAAACTAATAAGCTCTGGTATGATCTCTTTTACCTTAATTAGTTAACCAAAACAAGCTCTTTGAATTAACCCTAAATTTTTATTGTCTAATTAAACAAGTTCTTAATTAAATCAGAAAAGTAGCTTTATGATCTGTGTAAAATTCCCAACAATACCCAATACTTCTCACAAGCTCGAAAGTATAAATATATGATTTTTCTAGTTTATATCAGAGTTAAATCCCAACCACGGAACCAATCTAATACTTATTACTTACCAATTGACAAGAACAATTACGGATTCAATTAACTGATTAACTGGAATGATAAAACCCTGGCTAGGTGATCAGACTAACAAGAATTAAAATCAAACATTCATTAAGTTCAAAACTAAAAAATCTAGATAGAAACACAAAAAGAAAACCATATATGAAATCTAATCACATGATTAATACTAGTCTATGCAGAACTAAAACTATGGTTTTAGCAAGACATGGCTAAAAACGAATCTAAACTAGTAAAAAGAAACATTAAACAAATAATATTCTAAACTAAGTGTGTGAGATGATTCACAACCTTCAGATCTTCAAAAATCGCTGAAAGGGATCAAAAATCGCCTTCAGAAGTGCTTTCCGTCGTCTGGAACCGTCTAAAATGCAATCACATATAAGGATCATGCGATCGCAGTTTTTCAGTTTTTTTCCAGAATTGCGTTTAAATGAAGTACAATGCCATATCTGAAGTTTCTAGGGTTGCGTGTCAAAAATGCGATCGCAGAATGGCTATATGTGATCGCATATTTTAACTTTTTCTTCTCAGATGGCTTTCAAATGACTTATTTCGACCCTGGAAAACTTTGTCCCATTTATGTGATCGCAGAAATAAAAAATGCGATCGCAGATATTGATTTCTGGCTCGTTTCGGACGCGATATTTGTGTAAGCACTCCATGTTATTCCTTAGCATCATTCTTCAATTCCAGCCCCATTTAAGCTCCAGATATACATACAGCTGCTCCCGAAGTACTGCTCCACTCGAAATATCTAAAAATGACACAAAAATGCTAGCAATACGTGGATTCAGATAAAAAAACATGAGCTGAACATTATTTAAACAAATGACATGCAAATATACAAAAATATGATATTAAATGATAATAAAACTACACTAAAAGATGCATAAAATGACATCTAACAGATAGTGTCTTTCAGGGTTCAATCAAATCCACGATTCCTATTTTTGATGCCATACGACAATCATATCTAAACGAGGAGCTTATCTTATAACGACCTTCAATTTGGCGTATGAAATGGTAAGAAGATGATGTTGTACTTGTTGATCGTTGTTTCATTTTTCCCTTGTGCATCTTCTTTAAATCCTTGGTATAGGTTAAAATATTAGATTAATTCTAAATTTGTAATTATACAACACTATTTATATCAACATAACTAATTTTCTAAATATTTTTTTAATTTACATAGGCTACCATATAAGATGCCACATAGTGTCGGTGTAATATCAAGACAAATCCTGATAAACTAACGATACTGATTACAATAATTTAAAAGATATAGACTGTTAACTTAAGTGACTTGTGCTTCCTAAGAAACTTTGACCAAACAGTTAATTCTACTTTGATGGTCATATTGATATAAACCCCGATCAGAATTACCAAAAAAATTATGTTAAAATCATTCAATAACCATAACAACCAACTTTCTACAAGACCACAAATTACAAAAAATGGCATATTATTTTCAACTTTCAAGGGACTGAAATGAAATAAAATACTAACATAGGGACTCAAGTGCAAATAACTTAAAAGGAAAACTCAATTCCTGTTATAGGGCGAAGAGACCGCAAATCAAATTTACCTCCGCCTCCTCGCATCGCATGTTCAGTTGAAACTAAAACCACCGATACCCTCTCCCGCCGCCGTCTTCTTCTTCCAAAAGCTTCACCCTGCATACAAAAATGTCGAATGTCGACGAAAATGATCTCCATGAAGAAAATCAAGAAGGAGAAGAAGTGCAAGAACTTAGCTTCGAAGAGCTAGGATTAGACCCTCGTCTAATTCGTGCCCTCACGAAGAAAAACATCGAAAAACCCACTCCAATCCAGCAAACTGGAATCCCACTAATCCTCGTAAGTTCGTTTCCTGACATTATTCCCCATTAAACAAACACAGTTTCTTTCAATCGAGTAATTAATATCTCTGTGTAAAACATCAGGAGGGGAAGGATGTCGTCGCTCGAGCGAAGACTGGTTCCGGAAAAACATTCGCTTACTTGCTTCCATTGCTTCAGAAGCTCTTATCCGATAACAATACTTCACCCTCAAAAGCCCTACCTCCCACAGCTATGATTCTTGTTCCCTCACGAGAACTCTGCCAACAAGTATAAACCCTTATTCCAAAAATCTGTAAAATTTTACTTTAAATTTCAAATGGGTTAAACTTTTCAATCGATTATAAACATCGCCAACAAGAACCCCAACTAAAATTTTGCAACAATGCGTTTCATAGGCTATTTCTTTTTTTGACGTTTTTAATCTTTATTTGGTATTAACAGGTTTATTCAGAGGTGTTATCGCTAATTGAGTTATGCAGAGTGCAGCTGAAAGTAGTTCAGTTAACGGGTGAACCAAGTTTCTCAGAAATGGTTAGTTTTTGTAAATCCTTTATATAAAATCCAATTCTGTTCTTCAATTTGATAAAGTTCAATGGTAAATTGGTAATTTTTGCTTTTGTTTTCCAATTTACAGGCGACAGCATTGTCAGGGCCTCCTCATATCTTTGTTTCTACTCCAGCTTGTGTCCAAAGATGTCTTTCATCAGGTGTTCTTCAAGCAAAATCTGTTCATGATTCTCTTTCAATTCTTATTCTTGATGAGGTATGGATTCTTTTCTTTCTATAAAATTTATAATAGTCTTTGTTTAAATTACTGATTCATGTTAGTAAATCAGGCAGATCTTCTTTTTACATATGGATATGAAAAGAATCTCAAAGATCTCAAAACTCACATTCCTAAAAAATGTCAATGCCTTCTCATGTCTGCTACCTCAAGGTTTGTTTGTGTCATTATCACTTCTTATAAGATGCTATTTCCAATTCTACCCCTGCAATTTCTTCATTCAATTAATTCTGATAAAAATTTTGTAGTGATGATGTTGAAAGTTTGAAGAAGCTTTATCTACACAATCCCTATATTCTTACTTTACCAGAAGTTGGTGATGGAAAGGACGAAATTGTCCCCAAAAATGTTCAGCAATTTTGGGTAAGAGCTTAAGAGCTAAAATCTTGTATACTTTATTAACAAACTTCTTTTAGGGTATTTCTTTCATACATTTTATAGTTTCTTGAATCTTTATTTATTGTTATTATTTTTTATTTGTGTATTTAGATACAATGCAGCTACCGAGATAAGCTTCTTTACATTCTTGCAATTTTGAAGCTGGATCTTGTTCAAAAGAAAGTTTTGATATTTACAAATACAATTGACACAAGTTTTAGATTAAAACTTTATCTTGAACAGGTATTATTTTTCCCATTAAATTAATCTTTTTTTTTGTACCTATTATAGATTTTTATAAAACTTTTTTATATATTTTTACAGTTTGGTATAAAATCTGCTGTGTTAAATGCTGAATTGCCTGTGAATTCACGTCTACATATTCTTGAGGTATTATTCCCTTTGACTTTTCTTGAAGTTTTTATAATTCTATATAATGTTTTTTTAGGGTTTTGGTTCTTAAATGGATAAAGAAAACAAGTTTCATGGGATTTTTATGTATTTTTTTCAGGGATTTAATGCGGGACTTTTTGATTATTTGATTGCAACTGATGATAGTGATTCAAAAGAGAAGGATCAAACTGATGAAAATAAGCAAATTGTGAAGAAAAAATTCAAGAAAAATAAGAAAAGAAAGGTGGATTTGGAATTTGGTGTTGTTAGAGGCATAGACTTCAAAAATGTTCACACGGTAAAAAAAACATTTCTTAATTTTATATATATATATATATATATATATATATATACTTTTTGTTTGATTATCTTATAAGTTATAGAGTATATATCCAACTTAAAATTGTCTTGATTAAAGTTTTTTACTTTTTGTTTGATTCCTTTTTTTTTCTATCTTTTATAGATTAAAAAAATCCTTGTATTTGTTATCCTTTTGACAAATTTGAGCAGCAGTTTTTTATTAAAAGAAGTTAATAAGTTATATTTTCAGACAATTATGAACGAAAGAAAGAATTTGTATATAATTATATTATGGTAATATTAAAACAAGCATGTAAATAAGTTTGAAACATAAAAAGATAAAAAAACATGAGATATTTTTTATATAATTTTGAAACATAGTATTTGAATTTATTCTACATAATAAATTAATATGAATGTAATATATAATTTAACATCATGAATAACCATATTACATATAAAAGTGTTAATCTCATAAAAGGCCTTATTATATTTTGTGTTTTTCCCGGATTTAACCTCAATTTTATTTTTTTCATGAAAAAAATCTTGTATTTTTCATTTTTTCTGAAAAAACCCTCAACTTTGTCTTTTTTTTATTTATTTATTTTTTTTATTTTCCGTAAAAGACCCCTCACCCTTCTAACTGTTTCCGAAAAAAACCTCAACTTTTTTAGTTTTTTCCAAAAAAGCCCTCACATTCACAAGTTTTTTGGAGGGTTAATCTCTTAAAAGACCTTATATTATTTTTTTTTTCCGGATTAAACCTCAAATTTATTTTTTCCCTAAAAAGGACCTTATATTTTTTCATTTTTTTCCAAAAAAGCTCTCAACTTTGTATTTTTTTTTTCCGAAAAAAACCCTCAACCTTCTAAATGCTTCCAAATAAACCCTCTACTTTCTAAGTTTTTCTCGAAAAAACTCACATTTTACAATTTTTTTTGGAAAAAGAAATAACTAAAAGGGCCAGATCGAAAAAATGAAAAATCACAAGGCCTTTTTCAGAAAAAAAATAAAGTTGAAATTTAATCTGGAAAAAAAAACATAAAATATAAGGTCATTTATGAGAGATTAACCCTATAGAATATTATTATACAAATAATAAAAGTAAAGTTTTATAATTTTTTTTTTGTAACAGGTGATAAATTTTGATATGCCTACAACTGCTGCTGGATATGTACATCGAATTGGGCGTACAGGAAGAGCGTATAATACGGGTCAATCTGTCTCAATTGTAAGTAATTTTTTTATTTCTTTTTTCTTTTTCTTGATTCTTTTTTAATTGACTTTTGTGATTTTTGGATAGGTTTCCCCTGAAGAAATGGAGATATTTGAAGAAATTAGATTGTTTTTGGGAGAAAATGAAGATAAAGACTTGACATATATTGCTCCTTTTCCACTTCTTGAAAAGAATGCTGTGGAGTTTCTTAGATATAGGGCTGAGGTAATTCACCTAAATCCATTTTTTCTTTATTGTTATTATTTAATATTTATATTTTATAACATGCCTAAATGCAAGAAATATCAAAACTCTATTTTATAGCATTGTACTTTTAAAAATCCATCCATTGTACTTTTTTTTTTGTTTAAACAAAAAATTCCAAATCTAAAAGCTACTCATCCATGTAGGGTTTAAGAAAAAGGTATTGAGCTTTTTAAATCAATTTCCAGAATTGTCTTCAAAAATATATTTATATATTTATCTTTTTTAAACAGTTGTACTTTTATGTAATTTTACACATTTCAAAAGCTTCCAGCTACCTTTTGCCAAACACTTGTATGATAAATAAAAAGTACCTTTTGCCAAACCTCAAATTTATTTTTTGTGTTTTTTTTTCCAATCTGGCCCTTGTAGTCATTTTTTTCCCCAGAAAAAGGGTTAATCTCAAAAAAGACCTTATATTTTGTGTTTTTTCCAGATTAAACCTCAAGTTTATTTTGTCTGAAAAAGACCTTGTATTTTTTTTTTTTTTTTTCCGATCTGGCCCTTTTAGTCAATCTTTTTTAAAAAAGTTGTAAAATGTGTTTTTTTTTTGAGAAAAACTAAAAAAGTTGATGGTTTATTTGGACGCATTTAGAAGGTTGAAGCGTTTTTTCGGGAAAAATTACAAAGTTGAAGTTTTTTTTTTTCGCAAAAAATTAATCTTAGGCTTAATCCGGAAAAAAAAACATAAGGTCTTCTTCTATGGGATTTAACCCTTGTGTGTGTGTGTATATATATATATATATATATATATATATATATATATATATATATATATTAAACAATTGTACTTTCATGTAATTTTAAGTACTCATATAACAAATACCAGCTTCCAGCTAATTATTTACATATCTGAAAAAACAAAACAGGATGTTGCAAGGAGTGTGACAAAAATTGCTGTAAAAGAAGCAAGAGCACAAGATCTACGCAATGAAATCCTAAATTCAGAAAAATTAAAAGCTCATTTTCAAGAAAATCCAAGGGATTTAGATCTTTTGAAACATGATAAACTTCTAAGCAAAAAACCACCTGCTCCTCACCTACGCGATGTCCCTGAATACCTGGTGGACCCCACAACCCTACAAGCTTCCAAATTTGTTAAACTCACAAGAGCTGCTTTCGGAAGAAATAACAACAATGGAAGTAGTAGAGGGTTTAAGGGGGGGAGAGTTAATAAAAAAGGCTGGAGATCCTCTCAAGACTTTTTCTTCACAAGTATGTAAAATTTTATTTGTCTTTTTATTTTGAGTAAATTACACGAATGGACCCTATGGTTTGGGGTAATTTGCGCGTTTGGTCCCTAACTTATTTTTTTAACTCGGAAGGTCCCTACTGTTTGTTTTTGTTACGCGCTTGGTCCCTATCTTACCTAAAAATACTATTTTGCCCTTCATTTTTTAATTTATTTAAATAAACATACCCCAAACCCCACCCTCCTCACCTTACCTTATCTATCCCACCATTTTTCCCTATTCAAATAATAGTCTTTTTAGGTAAGATAGGAACCAAATGCGTAACAAAAACAAACTGTAGGGACCAAGTGCGTAACAAAAACAAACATTAGGGACCTTCCGAGTTAAAAAAATAAGTTAGGGACCAAACGCGCAAATTACCCTAAACCATAGGGACCATTCGTGTAATTTACTCTTTTATTTTGGGAAATCTCTGATAAAATCCTAATGTTTTGGGTCAGTTTACGGTTTTTAATCCCAATATTTATTTTTTTGAATAGAAAAGTCCTGATTATCTAATTTATACGATAATCTGTTGAAAAAAAAAAGATTGTTTCGTTAATTTGGGACTTTTTTGTTCGAAAAATAAAAGTTGGGATTAAACTGTATACTGACCCAAAATATTGAGACTTTATAAGAGATTTTGCTTTTGTTTTTTTGGGTTAATGTTATAAGTGGTTTTTTTTTGGGTTATTGTTAGAAAAGTTCAATTATTTTGTCATAGTTTATGGAAAAGTCTCAACTTTTATTTTTTGAATAGAAAAATCCCGATTATTTAATATTTTGCCCAAATTAACGGGAAAGTCATTTTTTTAAAGAGAGAATGACAGATTATCATGTAAAATTAAGTAATTGAGACTTTTCTGTTAAAAAAAATAAAAGGCGAGACTTTTTCCATAAACTAGGACAAAATAATGAGACAATTATGATAATAACCTTTTTTTAATTTTCACAAAATTCCATTTGTGAAAAAGGAAATGGTTAGTTATCATTTATGATAACCTATTTTTTTGGGGATTGTTATTTCATAATTTGTTGGTTTATGTGTTTGTGATTTTTTATGTGATTTTAGGGTAAAGGGATGAAGAGGAAAGCAAAAGCGAAGGAGTTTGGGCCAAAACAGAAAAAGAAGCAAGATGTGTAATGGGAATTGTAAAGATTGGTGTTGAAGCCACACAACAGTTTTGTAGCATTATTAATCATGATTTTTTTGTTTTGAGGGATAATTTGTTTATTACAAGATATGAGATTTTAAACCATGGTTTTGTTGTACATTTCATTTTACTTATTTGATTTTGTTGAATGAATTGAAAGTGAATCAAACCAAAAATACAAAATTAATGCACATAAGGCCACTTGGAGTGGCATTCTCGGCAAACAATCAGCTCTGCAACTCGGTGATATTTCACTGATGAGAGGGAAGATTTTTTTATTTTTTTACCAATTAACTCATTCCTTTTTTCAAAAAATAACTTCTTTACAAAAATATAACTGCTTTTTTTTTTCTTTCAAAATTTAAACCATCAATCTTCATCTATAAATACCATTATCCTTATTTATTCTTCTTCCGATTCAAATATTCTTAATTCAATCCTTTTAACTTTCTTATTTTTCATCTTCTAAACATCATCACTAAAAATTGTTCGTGTTTGGTGTCGTGAAGAAGAGATGTTACTTGTTTGTTTATGGATTGATGTAATAGAAGATTCAATCCACATTAACGACAATCCACGTAGTTTTTGGGGGAGAGTTGCCGAAACATACAATAGTCAAGCCCATGTTCCTCGAAGTTAAATCAACTCTTCTCCAAATGAAGACATGCAAATGCACTTGCAACTCATTTTGATGCGTTTCGTAGGGTGATGCATGAAGCCGAAAATGAAAATATTTTGCTAGCGAATGCTCTTGAGGCTTACCATGTTGAAGCTAACAAACATTTTCGGCTTGTTGAGTTTTGGCAAAATTGTGATGCAGTCCCCAAAATTTGCTCAAATTTAAACTCGTCTTTTTTTTTTCCCTAGTGTGATATGTTTTTTAAGTTTAGTTTAATTTTAAGCATGTTATGTTTTTTTAAGTTTAAGTGTGTATTATTTTAATTTTAAATGTGTTTTGTTTTTTAAGTGTAAGTGTGTGCTTTTTTTTTGAAGTTAATGAAATTTTAGTTTTAAAAAAGATAGTATTTTTGAAATGTTTAGTTTTTTAAATTAATTAATTAAAACAAAATACCATGGCAAGTGTGACAATCCATATCATGAAAATGACAAAAATTGTAAAGAGTGTGACAAAGCTGACGTGACGCCTACGTGGATCATAACAAATATGACACCACTCCCACCAGCCTAAGGAGTTGTTTATGTTTTCCCCATAAAGTTTTGTGTTAGTAAAAGGGCTGAAATAGACTATGCAAATTAGCTTAAAAGTTATCTGAAAAGCTGATAAAAATGACATTTTATAAAACCAACTGATAAGTTAGTTAAGATAATATAAACCGATAGAAAATAGCATATGGGCATGTAGAAAATTGAGTTTTTTTAATTATTAGTATATATATATATATATATATATATATATATATATATATATATATATAAGAGAATTTAAAAAAACTAAATAAGCTCATTGAAATGTTAGTTTGAGTAGGTTTTAAAAAGTGTATAAGCTACTTTTTGGTTTGGCATGACAACATAAGAAAGTTCAAAAACATATGACTATAACATGCCAAAGATAGCCCTTCATATAATTGTATGGATAAAGTGTTTTATACACAACATTTGTTTCTTTTTCGTCACTTTTAACAATATTTATTAATTTTAATGCGAGTTCGGAGCAAACAAAAAGAAAGACAGTAAATGCTTGATGTCGTAATACATTAAGCCATGCTTTTGGCTGAACACATTAAGTCATTCTATCATCAAGTCAAAAAGAATTAACCCCTAAGTTTCTATGGTTCTATAATCTAATCCAACTATACCCCGGTTGCTTCACAACCCCATGACCCCTCATCATCTTCCTCACACCCTCCGCCTCTTCCCAAAATCCACCATCCGCAAGCATATTCGCCAAAACCACATAAACACTCGACTTATCTTCTTCCATTTCCAAAAGAATCCCACCAACAATCCTCCCAAGTCTCAAATCCCCATGAGAAGCACATGAACTAAACAAACTCCACCACACACTACAATCCACATTACACCAATCACTCTTCACCATCTTCTCCACCTCATCAAGATACCCCGCACGTCCCAAAAGGTCAACCACACAAGAAAAATGGTCAACTCCCGGCTCTAAACCATACTCGTTGACCATTGACTTGAAAATCTTGACCCCATCTTCAACAAGTCCTGCATGGCTACATGCCGTGAGAATCACAATAAAAGTCGTATGATCTGGTTTGACTTTGACTGAATCTGAATCTTGCATTGATTCGAAACATGAGATTGCCTTTTCCCCTTTCCCGTGTTGACCGTATGCGGAAATCATTGAATTCCATGAGATTACATCTTTGTGGATTATCGAATCGAAAACCCTAGAAGACCAATTTAAATCCCCACATTTTGAATATAAAGCGATTAGGGAATTCCCTAATGATGTGTCGTGGAAATAACTAGATTTGATTATGTATCCATGGATTCCTTTTCCATATGTTAAGGATGAAATGGTGGCACATATGTTTAAAACCATGGTCAACGTGTAGACATCGGGAGTCAAACGTGATACGATCATGATGGAGAATAGATTTAACGCGTGTAAGGAATACTCGTTTGAATGAAACCCGGAAATCATTGAATTCCATGATATAAAATTCTTGGAATTCGTTTCGTTAAAGATAATGTAAGCCTCTTTGATTCCATTCCGTTTGGAAAGATTTGAAATCAATGCGTTTGATACTTCGGTTTTTGAAATAAGATTGTTTTTAATCACAATCGCGAGAATTGTCATGATGCTTTGTATGGATTCCATAGTTGAAAGCAAGCTTCCGATCGTGAATTCATCTGGTTTGATTCCGTGGTGTTGCATTTGTAAGTAGGTCGGAATCGCGTCTCCGGAATTGGAATTGGATTGAGCATGGATTGTTATCATGGTGTTCCATGAGACACGATCTTTTTGTTCCAATTCCATGAACCAATTCCGCGGAATGAAAGTCGGAGTTATTGGAATACATGGTGATTGCTGCGTTATTTACGGAATTGGAATCGTGGAATCCGGTCTTGATGGAATGGGCGTGTAGTTGTGTAGATGAGTTTTTACAAGGACTTGAGCTCATAAGACTCACGTAAGTTCGTTCAGTTGGGTTGAGACCGATTTCTTGCATGTTTTTGAACATCATGAGGGCATTTTCGTCTTTTCCGAGACTTACTAAACCGGAAATCATTGCATTATAAGTGATCTGATCATGTTCTGTTTCATCAAACACTTGGTGTGCGTCATTAGCGTTTCCGAAGTTGAAATACATTGTGATAAGAGCATTTTGTAACTGAAGGTTTGACTAAAAAACCAGTCTTGATAACCAGTGAGTGAACTTGTACACCATAGTCGATTAATTCTGAAGAACACATGCTCAAAACGCTAGCGTAACTATAGTTATCATGTCTAATTCCCAACAAGTGCATTCGATTAAACATGTCCAATGCGATGGATGGATACCCATTATCTGCGCAACCTGTGATTACGGCGTTCCAGACAGCTTCGTTTCTGTGGGGTATTTGATTGAGCAGGTGGCATGCATAATCAACTTCCCCGAGGTTTGTGCACGCAGACAATAGTGTTGTCCATGAATACACATCCGGGACTTTAATCTCTGCGAAAACTCGTTTTACTGAAGCCAAGTCTTCTGATTTTGAGTAGAGGAAGAGCAGAGTGTTGGCTACGTGTGAGTAGATTTTATAGCCGGTTTTGATAACGTGCGCGTGGACCTGGTTTCCGGCGGCGTCATCACGGAGATTGGCGCTAGCGGTGAGGGTTGTAGAGAGGGTATATTGATCTGGTTTTAGATAGTGGGAAGACTGAATTTTGTGGAACAATTGAAGGGTTTTTGTGTATTGTTGTGATTTGGTGAGCTTAGCAAGCAAGCAGTTCACCTTGATGAGTTCACTGTTCATTTACGTTCTTATGTCAAAGATCCGATTTTCAGAAGAAACACCCACTGGAATTTCACTATTGTAGAATCATTTACATCAAACCCATGTTTCTTGATGTCGCCGACGCTCCAATCATCCACCCTACAATGAACTTCCTTGTGATGATGTAAAGACTTACAGGAGTTTAAGGAAATTACATTCAGAGGTGTTAAAATTGAAACTTGTTTCGCAAGAATCCGTTGTCATGAGGTGCACAAATCCACGATTAGAAAATTTTTGGAAAATGAGACAATGAACGCTTATCGAGGGAATGAGGAGAGAGAACCCACTTCTAATCGCACATTGTTTGTTGCATTAATGACAAAGGTTTCATCTTGCTACAATGGAAAACAACGCAGTGTAGGTGTTCGATGAAATGCTTAAGTGAGCATTGTGTTTACGGGTTTTCAATTACATTGTAGCTCCTTCACTATTCGAGATCAAAATACAATGTACTCGTATAAAAAAGGCTTCTGATTTACTGTTGTGTAATTTATGTGAAGAAGGCAATCATTTTATTAATATAAATTAAACAAATTCAATACTATTTTCATCAAAGATTCATTTGCAACTACAATTATACAGTTGCAAGATCACCAAGTTTCCTCTATATGGCCTTGTTTCCACCTTATTACTCCTTATGATGATCTGTTTCATCGAATATCTCATCCTACACAATAAATCAAAACCCAAAATTAAAAAATAAAAATCAATATTCAAAGTGGTTAGAATCTTTGAAAAGATTAAAGTGATCATACATTTAGAAGCTCCTCCATAACATCTTCCATTGTAATGATGCCTACGACTTCCCCTTCTTGTCTAAAAGAAGAAAATGGTTTTTCCATTATATTAAGTACTTCAGGAAGGAACTTATCAGACCACCTTCTGCTCTTTGACGATTCTGCCCTTGACACATTACCACTACCAGAAATCGTCTTAAATTTGTTAAATGCTCTCCTGCTTCTTGAACCTCCATAGCTTTGACACCTTTCGTTCAAAATATCTACTCTCACTGCAAATATATTCCCTTTCAATACTTGGCTATATGAAGGAAAGAAGATTGTATCTTAATGGAGTTTTGATCTTTTTGATCGGTTAAAGATCTTCCAAGGGGTAAAATGGTCATTTACATTCCTTAATATGGTTTACTCGTCCAATAAAGAAACGATCTTTGTTCTACTTAATGGATTTAATGAGGACATGTTCAAGGAAAAAGTGAATTTTACTAGGTTATTGATGTTTGATTATTTTGATCTGTTGAGAATGTTCCAAGGGGTAAAATGGTCATTTACGTTCCTTAATACGGTTTACTCATCCACTAAAGAAACAATCTTTGTTCTACTTAATGGATTTAATAAGGACATGTTCAAGAAAAAAGTGAATTTTACTAGGTTATCGATGTTTGATCTTTTTGATCTGTTGAGAATGTTTCAAGGGGTAAAATGGTCATTTACGTTCGTTCATATGGTTTATTCGGTCCAATAGAGAGACAATTTTTGTTCAACTTAATGGATTTAATGAGGACATGTTCAAGAAAAAAGTGAATTTTACTAGGTTATTGATGTCTGATCTTTTTGATCGGTTAAGAATGTTTCAAAGGGTAAAATGGTCATTTACGTTCGTTCATATGGTTTATTCGGTCCAATAAAGAGACAATTTTTGTTCAACTTAATGGATTTAATGAGTACATTTTCAAGAAAAAAAAGCGAATTTTACTGGGTTATTGATGTTTGGTTTTTTTGATCGGTTAAGAATGTTCCAAGGGGTAAAATGGTCATTAACGTTCGTTCATATGGTTTATTCGGTCCAATGAAGAGACAATCTTTATTCAACTTAATGGGTTTAGTGAGTACATGTTCAAGAAAAAGTGAATTTTTTTGGGTTAGGGTTATCGATGTATGATCTTTTTGATCAGTTAAGAATGTTCTAAGTGTAAAATGGTGATTTACATTTGTTTATAGGGTTTATTCGGTTCAATAAAGAAACAATTTGTTCTACATAATGGATTTAATGATGACATATTCAAGAAAAAAGTGATTTTCTTGGTTATTGATGTTTGATATTTTTAATTGATTAAATATGTTTCAAGGGTAAAATGACCATTTACGTTAGTTCATACGAAATAATATACACGAAAGAAAAAACGTCTGTCTATTTTAATAGAGAAATTCAGGGAAATTGTTTTTCCAATTAAGTTCTAACTATTATTTAATATTTCCTTATGTTTTTCGAAAAGAATTATTGTTTTCTTAAATAGTTTTTAAACATCATTTATCTAGACAATACCTTCACTCGGGCCCTTGTTGGTTAGTTGCTCGATTCTTCCACTTGGCAGTTTTATGACTACAGCTATATGACTAAGCCCCTTTTGGAACTCGTTTAAAATGTCATATAATGGCATTGTGTCTGAAACTCTATAAAACACCAACAAAAATGTATAATATTTTGTTACATTGCATAAGCTATTAAACTCAATATTGAAATATACCTTGGAATCAGGCGAAGAGTGATATTTTTTATTGGTACACAATCGGCTGGATTTATAGTCATTAGATTCTTCACCTACAAGTTCATGATGAACAAATTTATTCATAGATAACCTCAAGAAAATAATTCCAGTAATTACCCGAAGATAATAATCATAAACTATTAACCATCTTTTTAACCAATAACACAAAAGGACTACCAATTTGCAATTGATCGGTTGTGAAATTATTCTATTAGAAAAATATATTCATATTTTGCAATAAAGTTACAATATTGTTAGCAATTTTTTTTTTCGTCAGCAAAATACAATTTCACAAATCTATTTTTAGAGTTTCGTGACTCAAAATCTATAAAATTGGTGGTAATTTGAAGTATTTATAAAAAAGTTGGTTAATTTATTACATCTCATATATATCATATGTTGATCTTTTATGCGATTATCCCTAATATTTACTTTAACCCACTAATTACCAAAAGGGCTCCGATTATGTTTCCCGGTTGATCATAATATACTGGCACTCTGCTATACCCCTTCTCGATTATCTTATTCATCAAATTCCTGAGACATAACAAATTATTTAATATAATTGAAAATGAAACTAGATCTCGTTACATTATTGATACTTAATGACTCGTCCCACATGGATAAAAAGTGATAATTAAGTTGTGGGTCCAATAACTTCTACCAAGGTCTAGGGGTTGTTTCGCAGAATTTGAATCAATGTATGAATTAGATAGAGACTTTGAAAAATTTGCCTCTGACAAAAAACATGTTGTTTATTTAGTTATCTGAATGATTGTACTCAATGATAACATGACCACTTTACCATTATGTTTAAATGTAATAATAAATACCATATATTTTTTTGTTGAGAAATTCACATTTACATGCAAAGATGACCTTAATATGATTAGAGGTTATTGGACTAGTTGTAACTTTGTAACTTTGTAGCTTTGGGCTTGAGGTGTTAATGGTTAATGTGTGGTACCTATCAAGTTTGGCATTGATATCAACCGAAAAATTTTGAGATAAAGGAGTCATTGCATCACGTGCTGTTTTTGCGGTAAGTTCAAGTGCTCCTCCAATGATTGTTGTCTCATGAAGTGACAAACTTCCACCTTTCCCCGCCTTTATAAACACCATGAATTTTCATCATATATATTAATCTTCAAGAAATAGCAATGTATTTTTGGTGATTTGTTAATTATAAGATTCTACTTTCGTTTCATCGTATTACAACATTGTATTATGAAAAATCTATGCAGTTATATAAATGTCATCCAAGTACATAACAATTTCCACTGCTATAATTGGGTAAAGTTTTTTCAAAGAATAACGTTATAATAATAAAAAGTTAAAAAATTAAAACCACAACGTTGTGATCGAGTAGATTTCTTAAAATAGAACACGTTAATAAAAGAAGATTGGAATTATATTGTTATAACATAAAGAAATACAAAAAATAAATGAAGGTACGTTGCCGTTCCTTGTATTTAACTATTAAAAAAAGTAAATATTTTACCTTATTACCATGAAAATCAACTAACGTCTTTAACTCAGCTCGACGAAAAAGACTCACGTGTCCCTTCCCCAATATGCAATCTAGCACCTAATTCAATAGTAAAAATTATCAATCGGGGCTAAACTGTAATTATTCAAAGTATAATGGCTTAATAAGAAAAAAAAACTCACCTTGCTTATCGGATATGCAACTGGAAACCAAATCCAAACTAGAACACGAACTAGTGGAGTCACGGCTGCACCGATCGCTAGGCCATAACGCGTGCAAATAGACTGTGGTATTATCTGCTCAAACGTGGAAACCAACACTTCAATTGACCATTTTTTTTTATATTTTGACTTTGTTAAAATACAATATGTATTCTTTTAACAACTTTGAGCTGACCCACACTGTCCTAGGAGCTGACATAAAAGCCCACACTGTCCTATTAAGGAGCTGACATAAATGCCCAGTGTCCAAAAGAAAGTCCAAATTCACTTTGAAACTGAAACTTTCACACTGCAACTTTTGATAATTGAGCCCTTGACTATTACTACAGATAAAATGCTAACCTCACCAAACAGAAGAATCAACGTCACGGAAATAATAATAGCACCCGATTCTGGGACCAAATTGTTCAAGAATATAGGAAGTGCCTGAAATAATAATACCACATTTTAACAACGTTTAAAAAATCATAAAAATTATGATTTTTTTTTAGTTCATGTGTAATTAATTATATACCTCCATGGCCGTGGCATTGCTAATTAAGAGTGTGCAAAGAACTAAATGATGCCTTTTCACAACCGACAAAATCTTTGCTGCAGTGAGACAAGATTTATGCTAAATTTCCATAAGTTTTATAAGATTTTAGATTAATTTGGGAAAATAAAAATAAAAAAATAAAGATTAAATGGCTACATGCACGAACACGATCCATGGGTTTTCCTGATTTTGCAAGAACTTCAAGGTCAACGAGGCTCATTGACATGAGTCCAAGTGTGAGTCCAGACATCATGCCTGCAAACAAGACGATCATGGAGATGACTGCTACATGAAAGAAGAAGTCTGGGCTGCAACATGATAAGTACTTCATTCCTGTTTTGAAGTCGATAACCCTTTTTTTGATCTTTCATCGTATGTTTTTATATAGATTTGGGCTTGTAAGGAAGGCTACTAGAAGGTTGCCAACAAAGTAATCGGATTTTGAGCATATTCCAAAGGGAATTACACTCTTTTTCATCAAAGGTTTTGTCATTTGTGTTATGATTTGTTTTTTTCCAAGTGCAAAACTTTGGAAGGAATTGTGATGATAAACTTATGCCGGCTGACTTGGATGTTTTAATATTCCAAATGAGTTAAGTTTGGATGTTTTGTTATGGAAGTCAATGAAAAACAAAAATTTGATCCCATAAATTTTAGGGTTAATGTTATAATAGGCCAACAACTATATAAAGTGTTTTATAGATACCTTTAAACTAAAAAAAACAAACTTTAATATTTGTTTTTCAAATACCATTGTGACCTAGAATAGTTTTTTCTAACGGTCATAATAATATTTTAAAAACAAAAGTTATACATTATTATATTTTTATATCTTTTTAGTTCAATGGTATTTTTAAAACACTATACAAAGTTCGATCCTTTTCATACCTTTTTCATTTGATAATCATTTTTTTTTTAGTTTTTAGCACTTGTCTATTATCTAAAAATACATAAAATTTATTAATTTTGTAATCTTAATAGTTTCACATCAACATCAATCTATTTTTTCAGACAAAATACTATATTACAGCAACCACTATTTAATAAAAAATATGATGATTAAACTATGAATACTATAATAGAACTTTGTTTTGTATGAATATATCGATATTAATCTCTAATTATAAAGTATAAAGATTATTAATTTTCACATGTTTGGTTATTTTTTAAACAATAAAAAGTGTGCAAAACTAAAAATATTAATTAGGCCTCTTCGTTTGATCTACACGCACCTCATATTTATCTATATATATTCTTTTGATCATAACAACTTAATATACAAATGGATTCTCATGATATTTCCATGAAAATAAATGTGACTTGACTATTGAATCCAACATGAAGATGGAGCTAAGTGAAGAATGTGACTTGACTATTGAATCCAACATGAAGATGGAGCTAAGTGAAGCGATACCGAAGCCAACTTAGTTGTTTGAATTTTTTTTAGTGTATTGTACTTGGGGGAATATTGTAACAGCCCAAAATTTTCAGAAAATCTTAACCTTTATAACCATAAATACCAAACATTCCCATAAAATATGAAGTAACATTGATCATTGTTTTCAAAATTCATAACATTAACATTTTATTTCAAACGACAGAGTGTCCCATCAAATCAAATGCCGAAGAGTGCATATAGATAACACTATTTGGGGTAGACAACCCCCACTCGCTGAGAACTGCGAGTGCATATTTTCGTGAACAAATATCATGAAAACCATGGACATGATAGGACGGGGAAAGAGCGGTCGTTAGGCTTGGTTGTGAACAGGAATGCATTGGCATTCATTATTTTTACGAGTTCGAACTTTTCATTGAACAAAACTATTTTCATGAAATGTGAACTCACCAACTATTTTATAGTTGACCCTCATTTTTGCATGCATTTCGGGAAACGATCAGTGCGCCAATTTAAGACGCCACAATGATTTATGCTTGATGTTATGATTTGTATTAGACTATGTAGTATTAAACTAAAATGTAATACTGTTTCGAATATGATGTAAACTTAAAATGATCAAGGATTATGGTTGGTACTCCTATTTACCTTGTGTTATGAGACCTTAGCATGTCACCCTTTGTATTTCCGCTTTTAACGGGGTGTGACAATTACTCATATAATAAATCAATATGTAACGACCTAAATTTTCAAATAAAATTTTCATTTTTAATTAACCAAACATTCCCATAAAATATGAAGTAACATTGACCATTGTTTTCAAAATTCATAACATTAACATTTTATTTCAAACATCAGAGTGTCCCATTAAATCAAATGTCAGAGAGTGCATGCCGCACCATCAAGCCTTGCCCTTGCCCTTAGGCTCAGAAGTACCTGAAACAAATCAACAAACTGTAAGCTAATGCTTAGTGAGTTCCCCAGAGCATACCCTACACAATCCACATAATCACACAATCCATATTAGCTATAAAAGCTACATAAACCATATAAGCCATGCATACAACATATATGGATCCCCTGGAAACCCTCCAGGGTCTTACTCCGGGTGCCATGGGAACCCCCACATGGTCTTAGCCCACTACCATATAAATCAGACATACAAACATATAAGGATGCCCTGGAAACCCTCCAGGGTCTTACTCCGGGAGCCATGGGAACCCCCACATGGTCTTAGCCCAAGGATGCCATGGAAACCCTCCAAGGTCTTACACCCAAGTGTCTCGGGAACCCCCCGAGGTCTTTACTAAGGATGCCATGGAAACCCTCCAAGGTCTTACACCCAAGTGCCTCGGGAACCCCCCGAGGTCTTTCATGCAAGTACTGCAATTACAACTAGCATACCACACATCCCATAACCAACTAGCATGTCACATAACAAATAATGGGTCGGCCTTGGTGCCTTCTGTTTGGTTTTGTGTACTATAACACTCCTATGGTGCACATACAACCATAATAGCTTTGGATCTAAGTTTTCTCTAGTTATACATGCAATAAAATTTCCAAAGCATGAAGCCTACAACTAGCATACAAATTTGACATATAAATCATAAAATCAAGTTAGAAGAATACCTCTTTAGTGTAGCTTGTAGTTTTGGCCTTTCAAGAGCTTAACACCTCAATTGTGATGCCTCAAATGGTTCACAAACACCATGAACAATGGAGGACTTTGAGAGAGAGGCTAGGCACTCTAAAATCGATTATGATTCTCTTAGAATACTTAGGGTAACCGATTTTGGCTAAGGGGTAACATTTATATAGTGTAGGATTCCAAGAGTCATGGGTAAACCCTAATCCACACACTTAGGTTATGATCCATATCTCAAATGGGCTAACTCTTCATGGATACTTACATAAACTTAGCCCATCATAGATCAATAGCCCAAACAATATATATGTCACTGATTTACATAATCAGTCCCCGTTAATTTAATTAGTCTCTTTTAATCACTAAATTAATTCCAAATTAATTCTTGATCAATACTAATTAAATATTATGATTTCTTAATTAATATATTATACTTATAATATATTAGTAAATCATAAATAACCTCTTTCTCAAATATCCATCCTATCAGATTGTTCTGGTAAAGGCAACCCAAATGGACCATGCTACTCTCGGGTCAAGTACATACCAATTATAGTTATGAGCTTAGACACCTAATCTAACAGTTTCCCACTTGGATAAGTCTAATAACTATAATTGCAGGTACGACTTCAAAACCCGACTAGCAATCGTAGCTCTTAAAAGCCGTTGTCGAACTCTGACCTAGTCAATGATGCGTCCATTAGATAAGGGATCATATATTCCTCCATTCTAGATATCGTATGAACTGAGACATGGATTATAATTATTCTCTCTGTTCATGTGTTGCTTCCCGATTTCCGATTTATGACGACCGAATAATTGAACAAATCAAATCAGTCGAAGCTTTGCCAAGCGCTTAGGGTTGTCATTAATAAATCATCGAGGGCGCACAAATATCGCTTTTATCCCTCTTAGGGTAAAAGGAACGGATAAACTTCGACTCATATGCTTGCTCTATTTACTCATCAAATCACACACAACAATACGTTTTATAACACCAAGTTACTGGCGCGTTTTCATATCATCAATGTGCAACCGACTTGTAAATTGCAACTCATATCTCTCTGTTTCAAGAATATAAGATATTATCGTCTCACAATCACTCGTTATGAAATCCATGAAGTGATTCAGATGAGCGTGGGTTTAATCCAATACTCAAATCTTATTTCATGAGTACTCATGAATACTGCAGCAAACTTATGCTATGTCTAACACTTTAGACAATCTACAGACGGATTCATGACAGTCTAGCTTCAATACCTACTTCCAAAGTATGATCGACTGTGGATAATTTGAATAATCTAGTAATTCGGGAAGTCAAAACATGCAAAGTGAAACACGAGAATAATCGAATCCAATATGGTCTCAAAACTTTTGAATATAAATAAAACACCTTTTATTTAATCACCATATTGATTACACATTATTCATTGTATAATGTTTCGATTTATCAACTTTATACTTGAATTAAAACAATAGTTATCCCATGCTCCAAGCATGCACACTATGTTTACCTATGGTCCTTACTTTGTGAAATAAATCAATTTTAAACATTTCCAATGACACTCATTTCACAATTCCAAATCCTTATCATAAGTGTGAGAACACCAAGTCCTTGCCACTTACTTTAATCTGTTAGATTCTAAGCTTATATGCAGTGATCCTTTTGTAATGACTATGTACACAAGTCACAGAGACTTTGCCAATTACAAAACTTTCCATTGGAGATTGTTACAAAAAAATTCCATAGATACGAAGTCTCATATTCAAAGCACATTCCTTTGAACATCCTTCTTACATAAAAGTTTCTAACTTACTCATAGATTCTTGATATCCAACTCACATTATGGAAACTTTTCCATAATTTCCATATGACTATCCATTCTTAATAGAATTATATCTATTCAAAATCATATCAATATGGTCCATTCATTACTATACTTCCAACTGTCCTTAAGCAACCAATCATTAGGGAACCTCAAATCGTCATTGACAGTTGTTTAATAACTTTAGTCATATACAGTTCTGATCCATTTTCCCACTTAATGCCCAAGGCATTTGGAAAATCCAGAACACATAAATATTATAGCACATGCAATCGATCCTATACCCGAAGCATATGGGATACGATACATAATGTTTTACATAAAGACGCGATACTTTACCAGTCTCTTGCTATAACATTTCCATATATAGAATTTCCTTATATCGAATCTTTTCATCATAACATTCATATATGTCCTTGACTAAATTTGATTAAAATCTCAATCTAAACTTTTAGAAT